CCTAATATTTATGAAGGTGCATGCCACGTTTTGGATCTCATAATACTTTTACTATATTTTGGAATATCCATAATGACAATACCGACGTAATAGTGAATGTTTAAAGGGCATTCATGCTACACTTTTTTAATAAAAAGTGTAAATCTTGCCATCAATTTGAAACAGTTAAAAGGTAGCCTACCATAATCTCCTTTTAAATATTCATAATATAATACATACATAATTATTTTAGTACAATCTAGAAGTTAAAGAGATCATTCAAAATATAAAATTAAGAGGGGCTTTGACATAATGTTGATTGACTACTTCAATTGTATATATTTCTATCATTTGTGGAAAATAAAAAATGAAGGAACCGATTAAAAAAGGGGATTCCAAGATTGCATAATCTATGGCTGCGTGTGGTATCCTATTCTAACACTATCTTATAACACTATCCTATCTGAAAAAATGAAAAATGTGTTTGCTTTAATATTCTTCAAAATTCAATCATATTCTATTCAACTCAAAACATTTACCAATTACCTTTCTCAATAAAAGTTTTAAAATTAACAAAAACACTCCCACCCACTCAATAATTGCCAACAACCGGTCACCACCGTTGAACAGTGGCCGAAAGCCACCGATTTGTCGCACAACCAGTTGGATCTAACCGGTCATGTGTCAATCTGTCTGTTTCCATGGGAAACGACCAAAAATATGGTCGTTGATAGCCAAATATGGTCGTTGACAATGACTAAGATATGGCAATATGACAATTTGACCTTAGAAATAGTATTAGGAAGAATAATGAGTAAAAATCCCATCTTAATTTGTAGAGTTTTTTTTTTTTTTTTTAATAGTAAATCTCATGATTTGACATTTTTATAGTGAGCATATGTTAGTTGGAAAATATGACCCTAACATGTGTGTTTAGCTTTATTTGTAGTGAGTAACTGCTAGTTTTTGCAATGTGACCCTAACCCCCATTTTTATGCACTGTTAGGTTATTCGGTTTAAGTTTGAATGAAATAACTTTTTTACTGTTCATCTAAATCCAATCAATGTAACATCTAATTTCTTTCAACAATGTTTAGAGGTTAATAAATTTTTTTGGAGGTTAAATTGATGAAATTTTGATAAAATTTGAAAATTGAATTGATGGCATTTTTTAAACCAGCGGGTGCTCATTGTAAAAAAAGGCCAAACACACGAGGGCATGGGTCACATTTCTAAAACCAACAATTGCTCACAACAAAAAAGTGCCAAACATATGAGGGTTTGACTTGCTCACAATAAAAATGTCAAACAACACGGAGATTAGAGTCACATTTTCAAAACCAATAAATGTTCACTATAAGAAAAGCACAAGGAGCTTTCCTATAATAGGAACCCTCTTATTTATACTTGTTTTAAATCATATTCATGAATTAGGAGGACTTGTATTATAGAGTCATTTCAAATGTGAGATTTGCAAATGTTTCCTACAAGACACTTTTAAACTCTATTTAAAGAATTAAACGTGTCATTTCTTTTGCACTCACCATCTTTTATTAATCACGTAATTGACTCGAGTCTAAAATTTCAAATCAAATTAAAATTGTGCTCACCCACAAAATATATTATAACATATACTTTAAAATAATTTCATCAAGAAAATAATTTATTAAAAGTGGATAGATCCCTTAATTAGGTAAAAGAAAATTGTACCAAAAGAATTATAAGTAAAATTCTATCCCGATTTGTAGGGATTTCAGTCCTACATATGTGTGATTTGTAAGGATTTCAATAACATTCAATAAACGGGCAAAAGATTAGGACTTGAAAAAGTTGGTTCCAAAAACAACAAAATTTTGCATTCTATTTTAATATTTAAATAAATTGTATTATATTTTCAAACTTGCACTTTAAATTATTATTATAAATAAAACTTTGATCTTACCCTTTTTTTTATATAAGTACAAGCTCAAAAAAAGAAAATTCAAGTCTAAATTAATTAATATTCATATGGGCCATGCTTTATTAAGAAAATAATATTTAATTAATTTTTTAAATGTAACTTATATATTCCAATGAGAAAACTAAAGTTAGGCCATCCTATTCAACTATAAAGCAACTACTTTATAATTATAAGAGTAAACAACTTTTTCCCACCCAAGGTTTGGCCTGATGACATTTTCTTACCCAAAAAGTTTCAAAACGACATTTTACTACCCATAGTACATATTTGTTAGTAAATTTCGTTGTGAAGAAGGATATGATGATTAAAAGTCCGTTATAACTAAGGGTGGTCAATCAACATTATGCATCAAAAATCAAAATTTAAATTCGAAGTGTTTCATAACCTGTCATTGCCACCACCTGCTACTGGCTACTGGCCACTATCCCTTCCTATCCCATAACCTTCGAAACCACCGCTTCTAGTCGGAAAAAGTAAATGAGTAATATTACAGTACTTATAAAGAAATTTTACAAAGATTTTCATACAAAGTGATGTGGCAAAATATGAATAGAAGAGTGAATTTAATGAGTTTGACTTTTTGTTTCACTCTTCCATTCATTTTTTGCTACCTCACTTTGTATAGAAATCTTTGTAAGATTTCTTTGTAAGTATAGTATTATTGAAAGTAAATACATCAAGTTCATATAAGCATCAGTCAAAGTTCCAAACCACAAAGATTAGTAAACTTTAATATAACAATCCATTCCAAAACCTGTTTCATTACTCCGGTTCACCTCCCGACCATCCTCCTTGTCATTCCCAATCTTTTTCACGTTGCAACCACTGTTGCAGCAACCCTATGCGCAATTAATCGCTCCTAGACATTATGCGATTGGTCGCAAAAACCCAACTGCCCAATTGATGCCTCCAAGCCTCTTGTTGTTGACCTCATCGCACAATCGGCTGTCGAATCGCACGTCGCACGATGCCCGCTACTGTGGTTGTATGTTTTTGGTTGAGAGATTGTTGGATTTTGGAGAGTTGTTTTGTTTGTTTTGACTACTGGTTGGAATTGAATGAATGGTGGGTTGATTGATTTGAGATTTGTGGTTGTTTTCTTGGCTATTCTCCTCGCCACCATTAACCTTACCATTGCCACGCCCACCAACTATTTTTATTTTTTTTAGTTTTTTAAATTTTTTTGATTTGGATGATGATGTTGTGTGTTGATTTGGATAACGGTGGAGCTTTTGTGAGTTGATTAGTGTGAGAAGATTTTGGTGATCATAAGGGAAGGGATAGAGAAAGAGGGGGAGAAAAGGACAGAAAATGGTCGAGTACTGTTGAGAGAGGAAAGAGAAGGAAATAAAAAGAAAGAAGAAAGAAGAAAAGAGAGGAAGAAGAAAGAGAAGGAGAAAAAAATCAAGGACAAATTGATAAATTTAATACATAGTTAGGGGTATATCAATAATTTTATAATTAAAAAGTGGGTGTATAGGTAATTGACTCGGTTGACATGACATAAAATAATAAAAAATTAAGTTAAATAATAAACAATATTTTTGTCTTTACAATGAATATGTATTGTATTTAACAGAAATTACTAACAGAACATAACATTTGGATAGTAAAGTGTCGTTTTGAAACTTTTTGGGTGGGAAAGTGTCATTAGACCAAACCTTGGGTGGGAAAAGTTGTTTACTTAATTAAAACGATTTTATTATTATTTTATTTTCAATTCATCACTGCTACATATGAAGGTGCATGCCACATTGCCACGTTTTTTATCTCATAATACTTTTACTTTATATGGATTTGGAATATTGATAATGACAATACCGATATAATAGTAAAGTGTTTAAATCAAGAAATCACATAAAAAATAATAGAAAATAGATATCACATCTTCGTGGGGTTGAGGATTAAGATTTCCAATTCAGATATTTAGGAAATGATGAAAATAAAAAATATTTATGATAATACAAATGCCAATATTAAGTTGGAGGACACTACTTTAATCTAGAAAAAAAAATTATGAAATGTCAAATTATATATAGTGTTCTTAAAAAATAAATAAATTGAATATATTGTTATACAATATTCTTTAATAACAAGAAAAACAAATTTTTTTTATAAATATTAATAATTATAAAAATGGCTCGTTTTTATGATAATAACATGTGGAGAATGTCAAGACTACTTTAGTGTTTTGAAATTTATCATGCGGATAACACAATTTTCTTTAATTTTGAAATGAACCTTTACAGTTTGAAATCTTTATCATTGGTACCCTTTCATCCTATCTTCGTTAAATTGCCATTAGCTCGAACTCATAGTATTTCTTTAAAAAATGGTAATATTATACTTACAATCCAATCTCACAAACTTTCTCTTATAACCTCGACATGATAGCTCGCAATGGGTTTTAGATGCTCGCTATGGGTCATGTATGTCTAATTACGAGTTACCACGTCGGAGTTGTGAGAGAAAGTTTGTAAGATTGAGTTGTGAGTCAATCTTTATCCCTTTTAAAAAAGTAATACTACACCCATAATTTTTTTTTACAACCCCGACATGGCAACTTGCGATTGACTAGCTCGCAAATGGGCAAACGAGATCCATAGCAAGCAAGCGGGACTCATTTATGAGCTGACCAATCGCGAACTACCACGTCGGGATTGTGAGAAGAAATTGTAAACATAACATTTTTGTTTTAAAAAAAAAAAAAAAACTTTTTTTATAAGACAAATATTACTAGTTTACCCCTCTCAACATAACGAGTTAGAATAAAGGGATATCAGTGATAATTTTCAAATAGTTGAGGGTTTCTTTGTAAAAACACAAAAATTATCGTCCAAATAGATTCAAAACCGTAGCATGTAACATGCTTAATGGAATCGATAATTTCAAAGAGAGGCAAGCCAACTGTATCTGCCAACTGCCAACCTGATATTAAGCCCATAACCAAACAGCTGGAGAACAGAAAATTCCACGTGAAGAATAAAAAAAGAAGAGTATCCAAACAGAGTAAACGTTTCGATGAAAACAAAGCAGAGTAGGCAACAGATCTCAACAAACACAACACCTCCAAGTGTTTCAACTCTCAAGTATAAAAGAAACAACAAAACGCTCAGAACTCCCAAACTCCATCTATAAAACGTTTCAGTCTTAACACTCACCTTTCTCGCAGACACAGTCTTCGTGCTCTCCGCCATTCTCTTTTCTTTCTTTTTTTCTCTCAGATCTCTTCTCTTTCTTTTTCGTTTTCAATGGCTTCTGTTGCAGGAACTACTTCACTGTGCATGACTTCTATGTCTTGCTCTTTGAAACATACCCAGGTTGTTCTTTTGAGTCTTTTGTATCTCATTGTTACTTTTGTTTTGAGTGATTTGGATCTTTTTGTTTATTTTCAGATGGGTTGTGTTGATTTGTTTGATTATATGTTTTATTTTCGATTTTAGAGTAATATTTTGAGTATTTGTTGTCGCTGATCAAGGGTTGTAATTTAAAGTATAGCTTAGATCAGTAAGTATTTTGATATGAATATGAATTTTGAGTCTTTGTTTTAAGGTAAAAGTATGATTTTTTAACAGGGTAGGGCTTGAAAGCTATCAATTAGATCTTATAGTGTATATATATATTGTAAACATGTTTAATGTTTATTAATTTCTTACAGTTGTTAACTTATAATTCTGCTTTTTGAGCTTCCCAAAATTTTGCACATGCCGAGTTATTTAAGGGTTTTATTATTGAGTTAATTATCAAGATAGTTGCATTATAGATATTTGTTTTCATTTAAATTGTGTTATATTTTGTAGATTTATTAATTTTTTTGTTTGAATTGTTGAGCAGGGCAGGATCTCTAGTGTGAATTCAGTTTCACTTCCCATCAATGGGAAAAGCTTCCCATCTCTTAGGTCGCGGTCGGCACCTCGCTTCCGGGTTTCCTGTGCGGTAGGCTTTTCAAATTGTAATACTAAAGATTGTATTAAATAATGTCTGTTAATTGATGTAGTCAGATATATACTTTTCAAATCAAAAGCTTGAACTTGAACTCGATGAAATCCAACATTGTCACGTCGAGTCTTGTTGCATTTTGGTTTAAAATATCTTAAATGCAGATGTTCAACATGGTCACTTGGTTACACTTCTGGATTGTTTAGTCTTCATTATGCTTAATGAAATGCTGTTCAATGATTTTTATAAAATGTTTGTTTGGTGGATTGATTGTTCTTTATCTTATGCATTCAAGAAGTTGTTTCTTTTTTTATATTTGTGTACTCTATTGAGATCATGTGTGTTTATAGGATGGAACAATTTGGTCAAGTAGGTAGACGTCCTTTTGATTATGTAGTTTACCATCTTGCGAAAACACCTCATGCTCTAGAATATTGTCGAGCCTGTTGATGCATTTGTCAAATAGTGTTGCTAATTCTAATATTTGTTGCAGGCAAAGCCAGAGACAGTGAAAAAGGTGTGTGATATTGTGAAGAAGCAATTGGCACTACCAGAGGATTCTACAGTTACTGGAGAGTCAAAGTTTGCGGCCCTCGGAGCTGATTCTCTCGACACGGTACCTTAATATGAACTCTGTTTATGTCATTTTAACTCTGCATCAAATCAATCCTGCTGTAATTTGTTTGTTTTTATCAACAAGTATCTTGAAGTATTTACATTATTGTGTTGGTTTGTCTTTTACTCATCTTGAAGTATTTACATTATTGTGTTGGTTTGTCTTTTACTCATCTTGAAGTATGTACATTATTGTGTTGGTTTGTCTTTTAGTCATAGTTTTCTGACTTGACGGAAGATACTGACCTTATTTTGTGCATTTTCATCTATCATTGGAATTTCGGTGGATCAATTGAACTGAAAATCTCTTCTGCAATAACCAGGTTGAGATTGTGATGGGGCTTGAGGAGGAGTTTGGCATTAGCGTGGAAGAAGAAAGCGCCCAGAGCATCTTGACTGTTCAAGATGCGGCAGAGTTGATTGAGAAGCTCATGGAGAAGAATGCTTAAAATGGTGTGGGGAAAGAGCAGCCGGAAATCTACTTCAGTTTCTATAAACCTTTTTAATTTATAGTTGAATATTTTCGTAATGCAGTTGGTTTGGACTTTGATTGGATGTGGTTTTTTCTTTTGTGGTTTTTCGTTTGATTAGAAGAACTGAATATGCTGGCAATCTATCATAAACATATTCCATTCTCCAATTATTCACCCTGTTTTTACTATAGACTTAAAATAATTATTCTATTCAAAAAATAAAGAAAAAGAGAGATGGGATTATGCTAAATTTTTCTAGGGACATCAGTTTCTTAATCTTTTATTATCAACAGAGACACAAGATGCACGGACATCAGTTTCTTAATCTTTTATTAACAAAAACACTTCCATTTACCCATAGTTGTCAGATTCCTGCGACCATCGTCGGTGGTAGTCAGAATCTATCACAACGGTCTAAAACAATCGGAAATGATCGGTAATTCGTTGATATCTTTTTCGATCATATCCACAATGGATTTGGCCGTCAGTGATGGCCAAAGAAATGGCTGTTAGACAGCCATTTCTTTGGTCATTTGACCTTTTCTGGGCAGATCTGTGGTGAATCTGGCCAAAAAAAGTCAGATCAACGCACGCTCAGCCAGATCCGCGTAATCTGTGCTGTAACGTCAGATTTCGACGGTGATGGTCAGAAGTTGGCACTGTGGATGGATGGGAGTGTTTTTGTCATTTTAATTTTTTTTTATATATATTTGGGTGTTTAGTTAAATTAGCAAACCTATGGGGTTTTTTTTATAAATTTTTAAATTTTACCTCGTAATAATCACCCTATTCAACTATTCAATACTATCCTCAAAATTCTATCTAAAATAATAAACTAAACGCACATTTAGCGGCTTACTCAGGATGAGTATTCTATGATAATAAAAAATTACCCAGAAATTAAATAAAATAAAAACTACTCAGAAAATCAAAGATAAACAAATATGCTTTGTGATTTTTACAATCAGAGTATAGGATAATTGTTCCTATTATTCCTTATACCGAATATTCAACTAAAACTCTTACTATTCTTCTCTCTTTTGTTAGTGACTTTTTTTTCTTCTTTTATATATTTAACAACCAATAGAACTAAATATGATTATTAACATAAGAAATGATGAGATTAGATACATTTCTTAAGGCAATACTATATTTATAATCTAATATCACAACTCTCGTCACAGCTTACAAATGGGTTTCGTCGACTCACTATGGGTCTTGTTTGATAAATTGTGAGGCTCAATATGGGTCTCGTCTGAACAATTGCGAGATATTACATTGGAAATGTAAGAAAAAGTTTACAAGATTGGGTTGTGAGTCAATCTTTTTATTATTTGTTTAAAGGTAGAGTTGAGATTATTAGGAATACCTTGGAGGGGTTTTATAGTTTTTTAATTGATTATCTATTATGATTGACAGTTTTATTTTATTTTAATTTTCATATAAGTAATGACCAATATAATTAGTGATTTTAGTTGAATACACATTTATCCTATTTGGTTAATGTTAAAAAGAGGGCATTGGATGCCTAAGCATAAAATTTTGAGATGAGCAAGTGAGCAGGAAGAAAAAGATCCACATCCACTTAAAGACTTCGGTGGAAAAGTGCGAGGACAGTAACAGACAAAACTGGTTACCTTACCTAATCATCATGATTTAATTAATTAATGCCAAGATTTGACACATTATTATTCAACAAATTCCCAACCTAATTTTTCTCAAATCGGTGCTCCTCACATGTCCTTTTCGAATAGAAATAGTTTCTTCCCATATGGATTTGACACCGAGCCATGTGATCTCCTGCAAGTTCAACTTTTAACCAGGAGAAGATGATTCCAATTATATTGGCCCCAACATGTTCATTATTCATCACTCAAAACAACCCACTGTAGCTTTCATTTGCAGCAACACAAACTTCTCTTGAATTGATGGAAAACTTAAATCATTAATTAAGATTCAGATAGTTCTCAACAAAACAGAATAACTAACTACATACATTATGACTCATGTTACTTTGATCAAACCAAAAAAAAAAAAAAAAGAGCATAAACAAAGATTTGTAACCTTTTATTTCATATCCTGAGAAGGTGGTGGCATGACCAAAACGTTGCAACATATAGAGGTAGCTTCTTCAACTGGCCAACTAGATTTCTCTGTGCCATGGAGTAAGCGGCCGGCAATTGGCTGAACGGCGAAAAAGCAGGGCCAGGGGCATCCGGGTTCGGCGGGCTGGGGTTGGAGGGAATGGTGGGCACAGAAGAGCCAGTTGGAGTAGGCACCACCCCACCAGGAGAAGGCAAGAGTGGAGAAATATCAGGCGAAAGTTCTTGGTAAGTAGGACTTGTTAAAAATGCAGGCGAAGCTGAGATGGAAGAAGGAGAGGCTTCTGAATTTAGATGATGATCAGAAGCTAAAGAGAGCAAAGGTGAGTTCATAAAAAGAAGTAATACGAGGAGGCAAAAGGAGGCCATTAATGATGGAGAAATCAATGCAAACACTTATTGCTTGGACTTGGAGAGTGTAATTTAATGGGTATATTTGTGTAAAATGGGCAACTTTTCTTTCTTTTTCGGTTAAGGAAGGAAAGTATTGAGTGATTGAGTGAATGTGGGCTTTTGCTGGAAGAATTTATGATGGAAGTGTTTTAAAGGTATGACTAAGAGTTGTTGGTGGGGTCAAGTGCCACATGGCATGTTTTGAGTGGGTAATGATGAAAAATTACAGGTTGGCATGTTCGAGGAAGAGACAAAGGTTGGTCCGATAACTTTTGTTTTGATATGTTTGTTAGAAGAGGGATTCCCTTTATGACCACCGTGATTTTGGCGCTCCCTGATTTTCGGTTAATCAATTCATTCAACCTTGGCTGAAACAAACCCAACAGGTTATTTATGAAGTTATGTGTAAGGGATTAGGGAATCAACAACACCTTGTTAATTAATTGCCTGTTTACTACTCTTAATTAATCCAATTATATGCTAATAATAATTTTAATTATAGCAATAAAGAAAAACATAGGATTATTTTGAAAAACAAAAACTTTTATACTCAGGTAAAAAGAAGGCAAAATAATGAGCTATGAGAAAAAGTTATGTAAACAACATTTTGAAGAACAAGAATTGCATAGAAGGTGATCTAATTTGCTTATGAGCAAATTTTCAGGAAAAAGAACTCATTGAACAAGTGTATAGATGATACAAAAGTATACGTAGATTATACAAGGACAAGCCTCACATTTCATTTATCATTGACCTCCCCCTCAAGATTTCACGAAAATAGCTTTTCATGTCCTAGTGAAAAGCCGATGAATGAATTCTAAGAGCACTTGCAACTTAAGGCAATAAATTACCCGAGAGGCGATTGCTGAAAACAAGATGGAAGAGCAACTCACATGCCGTTTCCAGGACTTCAAATGCATCGAGGCAGCCGCTGCAACTCAGAGGCTGCAAGCAAGGCAGCATTTGTTAAAGCAGGTATACCTGAAGTTTTCAGCTCAGCAATAATGGCTTCAATCCTTGAGATTTCCGGAATAGATATGGATAGAATCATTGCGTGTGACAAATATTGACTACAAGAATAACCAAGAGCATGCAGCATCCGCTGCAAAATGAATTGAGAGTTGTTCCTGCGCCAAGACTCAAGGATCACAGTAACCTTTGGAAGATTAGTAAGAAATCCTGTGGTGGCTTCTCTTGGAGCTGACTTGAGTAGCAATACAACACATTCAGATGCCACATCGGCAATATTTGGTTCATGCGATCCACTTAGGTCCAGCAAGACACCGACATTTCCACCAAAATCCATTATGTCTCTTATACATTGCTGTTGATCAATTGCACTGCTAAACTCAGAAGGGCAATCACCTAAGAGTGCTGGTTCTTTGTTGATGACGCCTTTTCTACAGCCTACTGAACGCAGAAGAAAAGCTCTACACAGGCCAAGAGTTGGTTCAAGAAAATCTTCCATACCCTTTGCATATACAAACTCCAAAAGGTTTCCAATCCTCCTAACTACTTTCAATTGAGAAAGTAACTTGGATTCCATTTCAGGAGCAGATGCCAGAGCCAGGCACAATTTAACACTGTTTACATTTGCACTTGATAGATCACCGAGCAAAAACTCGAAACATTGTGAAACTGTCTTCAGATGTAGAATGTCTGAAATTTTAATATAATCAAACTCTATGAGCATCACAAGAAGCTTCTGTGCATACATGGGTATGGGATCTTCATCTTCAATGAAGGTAGGGTACAGAGGAAGGAAATGAGAATTGGATATGGACTTCAAGTCTTTCAATCTCTGCTGATCCTCAAAAGGTTCACTCAGAAAAATGATCATCACGTCAAATAAAATTTTCAGGCACAAAAATCTGGCATCACCATCCTTATTACCCTTATATAGAACAGCCAGACTAGGAAGAATTTCACGGGTAAAAACGTCAGGGCTCCCAAGAATTGACGAGGACTCCTCCGCAATAGACTCCAGAATTCGTAAAAGAGTTATTTGAAAGTCATCTCTCCCCTGAAAATAAAAAGATGATTTTTATACCCTAAAGTTTTGCTTGACAGTCAGAAAGAACACAAATGTCTTTTCTATGATGAAATCCAGTGATGACCAAGCAGCAAATAGTGGTTACTTACCTGAAATGGTGTCTCCACAACTCTAATAAGATTTGCCAGCTGCTGCAGGACCAGAGGGCTCACCACCCTATTCTTAAATGATGAGCTCCCAAGAAGATGAAGAACAACTGGAAACAAATGAACACTGGTTTTTGGCGCAGCTCGGCTGGTGAGGGAAGAGATCTGCCCATGGCGCCTTCCTCCCATCATTTGTTGAATATCTCCAGTTATAGTATCTAGTAGACCTGGTATAATAGATGTCACAACATGTACAAATGAATCCAGACATTGCTGCACAAAACTGTCCTTCTCTTTTGCCAATCTATCCACTGACGAAAGTAACCTAGCATTGCAAAAAAAGTGCAGCAGCCACCTTTTTCCATTCTTACAAAGGAGAGAAACAAAAAGAAGTGCTTTTCCCCTTAGAACTTCACTTCCCTGTTCGATTAGAGACACAAGACTAGGGACCAGATTCTTATCCTCCACCAAGGATAGAAGGTGTCGTCCAAGATTGGTAAACATATGGCTTCCAAGCATGGCCATGTTTAGAAGATTTAAACTGATTTGCTGCTCACGTGGACTACCCTTAACAAGGACAGATGCTATGTCCTTGAAAGAAAGTTTCTCCATAACTGGCTGAATGCTAGGAGGATTGAAGCGCACAAGGCGAACTAAACATGATCCTGCAGTTAGCCTCATGCTTTCCTGTTTCCCTGCAGCTCTGTATATATAACACAGGTTGGTAATGACATCCTGGGTAATGAAACGAGCAACCCAGTGTCCACCTTGACTGCAGATGTTTTCAATTGTCCTCAATGCATAAAGTTGAGTCATATCATCTTCCCCCTTACGTAAAACTGAAGACACCAATGAAATCAACGAATTTGGAACCTGCTTATCCAACAAAAGAAAGTTAACCAAAAAGAGAAAAGTAGAAGAAGAGCAGGCTAATAATGCTCAAAGGATCTAAGTTATCCTGTAACCAACAGCTATCTGAGAGCATCAATTTTAAACTTCAATAGATGCACAAAAATGGAGAAAACACATACAGTAAGCGAATTAACGGAGTACAATCACAAGTTCTGGCTTTTTGGAAGTATATAGAACCAAAAATGCACAGAATAGTTAAATAGAAACACAAATGATGTGTCACAAAAAAGAAATGTTGTAGCAATAGATTACAAAGCTAACCTGCCAGCCAGATGCTGCCCGGCTATCCTTTGATGGAGATTCTGGTGGATTGCTATCTCTGGCATGTTCATTCTGTGTTGAAATATAGAAAAGCAACTCACCCAAAGCAGCCATCGAAAACCTCCTCACTTTTTCTTGCTTGTCCCTAAGGCCATCAGTTAGTGAGCCTAAAATTCCAGAATTTGCCAAATCATCTTCAATAAAAGTAGAATGCCGAATGAGCAAGCCAATAAGCGAAGCTAGCTGCACTCGCAAAGCGGATGTCTTAGACAGCCGAAGCATTTTAACAAGCAAGAGCATGATTGGCCCATTGGTCAAGATATTGGCTGCATCGGCATTATTGCTCAACATTTCAAGGTATCTAATCACATTCTGCTTCTCCCCAACACTAGCGTTTCCATTAAGAATGGCTAGAATCCTATTGTTAAGAGCATCCAGCTGCTCCTTTGACATCTTCACAAAATCAGATGCTTGCAGGGCCTCAAATGGAAGTGAAGGAAATACTTCTGATACTTTATCAGCTTTTCTGCTGGGCATTACAGGCCGGACTGAAAGATCTGATGGATGCCAAAGTACCTGTGAAAGGATGTTAGATGATCTTGAAGAATCAGAATCATGGGCAGGCACTGAACCTTCTTTAATTCTCTGAATTTTGAGTTGAGGGCTGACACTGGGTGGAGTAGCAGCCACTTCAACATGCTCTGAAGATGACTGACGATCAGGTTTCCTTGATTCATCTGAGGCAGGCATATTATATACAGGTGGTGTGTCTAAATGATGTAAGTTGCGGCCACTCTCTTCCAGTTTCTCATGATGTGGAGTTTGAATAGGTGATTGGTCCTCAGTTGTACAAGGAGGATTATCAGACCCATCTGCTTCATCTTGTGACTCATCTTCAGCATTTTCATTAAAATCAAGTTCCATATTAGTGTCCTCAATTTTGACTTCAGAATCATTCTCAGAGCCATTAGGCAAGGGCCTTCTATAGTTTTCTTTCTCATTCTCCCTCTTTAAGTTTGTTTTTGCTATTCTTGACAAGCGTAAGAGATTGACACGCCTAGTAGCACTGGAAGCATCTTTCTGTTTCTCCTCGACTACTCTGCCAGATGCCTTAGTTTGTGTCTTCCGGCCACTTGGTGTACCCCTGACTGGAGTTGATCCCAATATAGAATTCTCATCCTGTTTCATACCACCTTTTGCATCTTTTTCACGTGATTTAGGAGGAGTCTTGCTTTGTAAAGATCTATCACCGTTACGTTCTGAGAGGCATGGTTTAATGTATGATTCTATCATATTATCAAAAGCAGGCTGAGGAGGTAAAGGCACTACAGTCAATTTAGTTCTCCAAAAAACATGTCCACACACATCAGGCCACTGCATTCTTTGAGCTGGATCTTTTACTAGTAGAGAATTGACCAAATTGGCAAAAGGACGGCTTGGAGTACCCGGAAGAGGTGGCGTTGACTCTGAAAGGATGGATCTTACTAGATGAGTGAACTCCCTTGCCATAAAGGGAGGCCGACCTGCATAGCACTCATATAGTACACAACCTAGGGCCCACAGATCAGATGCATAAGAATGGACTCCTCCATCCTCAAAGAGCTCAGGAGCCATGTAACAGGGTGTTCCACGTTTTGCTTGAGGCAACTACAAAAGTTCATTGAAGTACAAAAATAAGAAAAAATGTAAGAAAAACTAATGTCAAATCTTGATGACTAAGATCATCCAAACCATAAGCATAACAAGTAAAACATTACAGTATGTAGGATAGTAGCATACCATGGAAGAAGGAGTTTTAGATATCTCACTCAATTTCCTTGCCAACCCAAAATCACATAGCTGCATTCACAAAGATAAGGATGCTTGTTAATAAATTACAAATATCCTCACAACATCCAAATCATAAGAGGAAAACAAAATGCATAATCACCTTTGTATGTCCATTCTCGTCCAATAGGATGTTCGATGGTTTCAAGTCACAGTAAATGATTCCCTTTGAATGTAAAAACCTGACAATAGTGACCACAGCCAGAAAACATTACATGTA